ATATTAACAAGTGAGTTAGTTACTTTTTATTTTAATGAAGTGTCTGTACTTATAATAAAATAATCCCTTGGACGTTAACAGACCACAGAAACTTTTTAAGATTGCCTTATACTTATAAAAATTGATGCATCTTTAAAAAGAGAATTCTTTTAAAGGTACAAGTACAAGGTCCCTTAAATTACTTTCTAACTACTATTACTAATGCTTTGAAAAGATTATTTAGAGCTAACATTAGAAATTTTATGCCTGTGACTGGAAAATATTTCAAATATCTATAAATGAATTAAAAAATTGTGATACCAAAACTGTATTTCTAATTCATTGTATTTTTAGGTCTTCTCTACACAATTCTTTGTTTAGAATCCTTTATATTAACTTCGCTTTTGTTTCTGGGTGGCCGACTTGCTGGGGGGAAAAATATATGGATGGCTAATTGAACCACTTCCCGTCAAGCTATTGAGCTGAAACTTGACACATAGACTTGTCGCTGATGACAACACATTAAAACAAATTTTTAGCCTCAACCCCCAAATATCCGTGGAAGATGAAATGAAATTCTCAATAAGTGCCCTAAATTAAATTCTTTTTAAAAAATCGCAAGTGCATTTGGTGCATACTATTTTATTTTTTCTGAAATAGATGGGGCAGGTGGGTCATTAGAATATTAAGATAATTCAGGGGCTTGAAAAAAATGTGCGGTAATGAGCGGGGTTGGGTAGAGAGCACTAATTGGCATTCTTAAAAAGTGTGCTACTTTGTCAAATTTTCATTCCCGCCCCATATTGCCGAATATTGCATTTTATTAAAGAATTTATACAAAAAAATTAGCTTTTAGGTTTAATTAATTAAGTGTGCCATCACCAGTCATAAATCAATAACTCAAAACACACAAAAATTAACTTGTACTTGTATTTTATTTTTTTAAAAAAAACATGCTTTAATCACAATGAAATATAAAGTTACATTGATCATGTGTGTCCTGGAAACATAGTCATTTAAAAGACACCAAACAAAAAAATCTCATAACTTGTCCCTTTGGAAGTTGCATTTTAATAGTTTCATTATTTAAATCAACATAGAGTATGGAACAAGGGAACCTCCCACTGCACAATGAAAACCATTCCATTACAATACAGACATAAAAATAAGATTCAACTCCAGATGCAGCCTATTAATAGCCATACATGTGCACAGAACACATCTTACATTCATCTTTCCATTTACACTTCATTTTGTAAGAATCTGCTACAGGTGAAATGACACTCTAATTATTTGATGCAATGCAAAAAAAAAATGTATACATATCACATGTACACGCAGCAAGTTAACTGATGGACATATATGTAACAGAATAGCTATTATTTAGGGTTGCACCGATAATAAATTACCGGTCAATGAATGAAAAGCAATTGATTGGACTATTTAGCGTGTTCTATATTTAATTACATTAAAGAACTGTTTGGGTAAGCGGAGTAAATCTAAATAATTTTAACTGGCTGAAGAAACAGCGGTTATGCCCCTCTGATCCGCAAAAAGTTAGCCTCTGATCACCATCAAGAAAAGTGAAACCTTATAGGTATTTTTATGTTTGACTGAATTGTGATGCAGTCACATTTTTCCTTGCAACTAGAATTATAGAAGGGTTAATATAAAATCATTTTTTCTTTTAACTATTGATATAAGAGGAAAGAGCTTTCTTTTCTTTTTTAAAGAAAGTGACATCAGCTCTTCCTTTTGAAAGTGTCCAAAGAAAATCTGTGCTGTTAGGTACATGTGCTCATAACATTATTGTTGTGTCAGCAAATTAAATGGTTAACAACAGCTGATATCAGTCAGTGCAACCCTAAATATGATCTACAAAACAAAAAAAAAGATCCACTCATCATATACAGGAATAAGTGTATGGAAAGTCTAATACTCAGGTCATTGTTAATAAAAAAATATATTTAATTATACAGATGAGATTTAATCAGGTCAAGAGTATATAACCAAATGTTCTTCATTTAACTAAGGTTAAATTCAGTTTGAAAATGTGTTAAGAATCTAACTCTGACGTCACAGCCCCTCTCAGCCTCTCAAAGAAAAAAATGATGAGTATGGATGGATTCAAATATAGTATTGACTTTTCTATTACAGTTTGACAGTGCTGGTAGTCAGAAATAAAAAAAAAAAAGTAGGCATTAAAAAAAAATGTTGGTGGCATATCAAAGAAAAAAATGATGAGTATGGATGGATTCAAATATAGTATTGACTTTTCTATTACAGTTTGACAGTGCTGGTAGTCAGAAATAAAAAAAAAAAAAAAAAAGTAGGCATTAAAAAAAAATGTTGGTGGCATTGTAAAGTTACATTAGTTATTCTCCCTCAAAATAATGGAGAGTATGAGTCCATAGGAAAATACTTCTTATTTTTAAGGTTCTATTATAATAACATATTTTTATTTTTGGGATTAGTCCCAGTTGTTCAGACCACATGATACACTCAAGAACCTAACAGTTGTTCTGACCAGACAATGATTCAACAAACGTTTTGCTAAAAAACAAAATTTAGGGAACAACAAAAACTCAAAGACTTTTAAAAGTAAAAACAATAAGTGCAAGGCAATCTGAACAAAAATCCATCATTCTTCCTTGTGCTACCGGTATCCAATTATTCCAACAGACAGCCCTATTCGCAAAATTTTCATTTCTTATATTTTATATTTGTTAATAGAAACTAGTTCAAACTATTTCTATTTCTTGTCGTTTTTTCCTTTGCCATGTCTGCTGAGGACGGCTCTTCGCCGAAACGTTTTTCTTTTGTAGCCTTGTCTTTCTATTCAAGCTTCCACACACCTTGTTCTATTTCCTTCCACGTACCTTGTTCTACTATTTCCTTCCACACAGCTTGCATGCAGTCCTGCATTTATTATCCTACAAATATCCCGCCTTGCACATGCAGAAAGTCTTATATTATCAACTTTATAGGAACATTGCTTAGTTTTTTAAAAAATGGTATTGTAAATTTGATATCAAATCATATAATGACTAATACTAATAAAATGATCACATACAATCAGTAAAACAATGCACAAAGTATTTTGAAAACTTTGGAAATGTGATACCTAAAAATGTATTATCACACATTTTGCCTCATTAGAAAAAAAGTTAAACCAAAAAAGTATTTAAATTGCTATTGTGTTAGTTCAGTAAAGATTATTTTAAAAGTATTAAAACTTACAGAATATCAACTTCAAAATATAAAAAAAACCACAAAGCACCATAAAATATTTGTTTTATCTGAATTTCTCATTAAAGTGGTTCTCTATAATATTATGATTCAGAAAAAACAAAATTAATTTTATATTTCCAAACATTCTGAAAGAATATTTTTCACCAAAAATTTAAAAAGACAAGTGCTATAATTTTCTTATATTCATGGTATAGAAATGAAACAGCAGTCCTAACTAAACCACACACACAATGTAAACAAATGTGGAAAGTAGCAATGAGCTGCTCAATGAGAACATCATGGACAAAAAGGGACTGCACTCCTGGAAACTGTTAGCTGCCCTGACTGCTGCTGGGTATACTCTTTTATTTATCATCACCAACTTTTAGAAAAGTCACAGCTTAATTTTAAATTAAAGAAGTAATCTGAAACTACTAGAGTCTTCTAGATACAGTGGTACATTTAGGCCAACCATTTTGACCTGATCAATACTGACATAATGGCCTGATTTTCAGTTTTCACACAGGCACACACAAAAAGTATATTTATAAAGGGTTCAGCTGAATATTTTTAAAAGTTTTAAATACATGTTCATTAAAGGATATTGCATAAACCAAATAGATGAAATAATTGTCACACATTGCGTGGAATGTTGGCCTTGTTCATCAAAGATTACTATTACTTTTAGCCTATGTATTTCATTGAGCGAAAGCATTGATAGTGGGGAAAATGTGCCAAGCATCCAAAGTTTGAAAAGCTGCCACTATCCAACTTAGTTGAGTGATAGCTGCCACTGGCAAGTTTATTTTTATTTCCAGTCTTCATAGCAATATATTGAAAACAATGGCGAATTAACTTTAATATTTACGCCACCCACCAAAGATTTCAGCTCTCAGCCTTGTGGGCATAGACAATTAGATATGAAGAATTAAATCTAAATCACAAGATGACTAATTTGCAGACTTATGCATTAAAATGCAAACATGTTTTAAATCGTAAAAAAAAGATTATTAATTTTATTAGCACTTTTATATCCAAATATTTTAATATATGTGTGACACAAGTTTCATTATTTTTATACCGGTATGTCAAGTAAAAATTCAATTTCATGCAGAAATGCCTTGGATTAAAAAAATATAATATATGAACTAACAAGACAAATTTTTAAACTGATTTTAATACATTGCTGGAAAAATTTACCTAAACTGAGTTTACTTTCCGTCATAGTCTTTCATCATTTCAAGTACGTGAGTGTTTTTTGTGTAAAGAATATTGAGAATTTTTAGCTTATGGTACTAATGTAGTTGATCAAAGAAATTTAGCCTAAAAATTATTATTTTTAAATGCCCTTAATCGTGCAGCTAGATTACAAGACCAGTCCAGCAGAGTGGGAATATTTTCCCAAAGATTATTTACAATCAGACATGCTCAATACATAAGATGTTCAGCTGATTAAAGAGCAAAGCTGAGATGATACACAGTTGTTTCATCAGCTATTACTATTAAAACTATTACCGGTATACAAAGATTCAATTCAAAAGAACTGCTAATAGCAGAAAGAAGGATGTGCACAGTCACAATATGATTGACTTGATTTTAAGTTCCACCAATATTTTGGCCAGGGATGGTTCCCCACCCCCCTCTTTTTTTAAAGACAATATCTGCATTATATCAAATTATTATTAAAATTTATTTTTCAAAAGGGTGGATTATAAATGTGTGTGGTTGGGGGAGGGGGGGGGGGGGGAATAATTTAGACTATCTTGTACTTATATTCACTGCATTAATGAGTGATATTAAAATTAAATGGAATATGTTTCACTCGAGAAATCCAGTCTTTCATCTCCAGGAAACACAATATATGTTTAAGCAAATATAGTAATCTGCTTTGATAGATGTGTCATGTGCTGTCCTAAATACTAATGAACTCTTTAAACAAGTTCTAGTTTTTACCACTACTCCACGTTGTCACGTTCTCCACAGAAATAAGTCAGGTGTTTTGTGTGTCATTTAGACAATAGTGGTCACTGAAGCTGAAGGCTGTTAATAAGAGTACTTACAAACAATAACGAAAAACATGAATGTGGAATGTCCCTAAGGAAGCCTTCTCAGCATTCAGCTTGAAACATTTAACAGAAGACTGGCTGATTCACAAAGTCATTTAACTAGTATTAGATGGCAAGTCTTCCAGACTACAGTAGGGCTCAAACACATTGGTGGCTTGTGGTGATTCTTCGACCAATCCAGTCACTACATTACCGCTTACTGTATTTTCAAAGTTTTCACTTTCTGAAGTTTGGGGCTCAACATTTGTGTTTTCACACTGTACTGCAGTTTGGTCCATTTGATGGTTGTCTGACCCACTGGTGGCAGAGTTCTCCATTAATGATGGGCTTTTGTTTCCAACGTCATGAACATTATTTAAAAGGCCATCAACACCAAAGCTGTGTAAAGGTTTTCCTTTGCTCACATCCATTAGAGAAGCACAAGAAAAATATGGGGTCCTGCCGTTGACACATGTAGTTGAGGTGCTTGGTGTTGGAGATAAACCCGTGAGGGACTGTGAATAGGGCTGAAACACTCTAGGGAAAATGGCAGGGGATGGGGAAAGCAAGGACGGGACTGTATGCAAAGTCAGATGCATGGGCAATCCATCTTGCTGTTGCGGCTGGCTTATTCCATAGGGTAAAGGGTGACTGAGTATGGAAGACAATGAAGTTGATGGACAGGGGAGGTATGTTAAATTTGATGACAGCAATGGACCAATGGGGGCAGCAGGTAACTGCAGGGATGTCTTCACGCTAAATATAGAGTCAGGTGGATTAGATAAAGTGACAGTTGGTGTGGTTTCTTGTGACAGACTGCTAGTGTTTGCATTGAGGTATACATTAGATACGTCAGTGGGATGGGTGGAGTTGATTCTTGGCAAATCTGGAAAAATAGATCTTTTATTTTGAGGGTTAACTTCCTGAGCAACTTGATCTGATCTGGGCAGGGGTGGCTGAACAATGTCGTTACTTACTGGATTTGTGTCTGTGAGCACATCTTTTTCTTCATTGAAGGTAATCTCAGACTGTAAAGGGGGAAGTTGACTTGTAAATGACAATAATGGATCATGGCTTTTAACCTCGGAAAACAGTGACTGGTCAAATGAGCTGGTGCTCTGACCCTCCCTCCCTTGGCTATTGGAGGATGGAAAGCACAGACTACCTGATGATCCTAGTGGATCCATGTCAAAAACACAATTATGAGAAACATGTAAGTCACCAACTTCAATGACTTTAACCTCATCAGAATCAGACTTGGTGCTGCTGACACTGCTACAGACAACAACATCTTCATCATCACTGGGAATGGATACAATGTTGTCCAGGTGGTCACTGTTTCTAGTCATAGCTAGAGTGGGTTCCTGAGATTTTCTTGCATAAGAAGCTGTATCAACATCCCAACTCAACATATTACTACCTCCTGTATGTGTCTTTGAGCTAGATGGTGACTTGCCCTGCTCTGGAAAATTTGCCTCAAGCCACTGTTTTGTTCTTGTATTGGTTGGTACAGGGTTGGTATTGTCATAATCTTCTGTGTCATCCGAGTCAGTGTTACTGGAAGATTCACTTAAAACTGTATGGGAGTCCACGGCTGAGGGGGCTAAGCCGGTAGAGAGAGGTCGTGAAGTGGGTAAGAATGTGGCTGGTGGTGGAGGGGGAGCAGGGAATGGATGTGTACTGGGCATTGCTGGCCACGTACTCACCCATAAATTGAGAGGGATGTGCTGAAGTGTGTCTGGCATTGCAATGTAATTGGGTTGGAAAGAACTGGTCATTGAGTGACTTATACTTTGAGGTGGAATAGGCTGACTTCTGCTAGGCTGGGACTCCCAAGCAGAAGACTCACCTTCACCTGAAAGGTCAGAAGCTGCATCGCCTCTTAAGTTATATTTGGATTTGTGTTTTCTTCTTTCGCCTTCAGATGAGGCGATTCTGCCTATTGCTTCTGATGACTTCTTGTGACCCGAATGGTGCTTTTTATATGCATGTAGAATAGATGGACTTTGAGAATCTCTGCTATGATTCTTGTCTTTTTTCTTATGCTTGTGTTTCCCCTTTTCCGATCTACCGGATTTCTCTTGCAGCACATCTTTGGCTTTGCTTGAGCTTGGCCCATCAGTCAAATCAAAATTTTCAGGTAGGGTTGTGGTCCCAATCTGCTGACTCATGGCCTCGGCAAACAGACGATCAACAAGCTCTCTTTCTCTCTCCCTGGACTTTTTCTTTTTCTTCTTTCTCTGCTTTTCTGATGAGACAGAGAGTCCCCTTTTCTTACCAGAGACCCTACTTGTCTCAGGTTGGGGATCATCCACTGAGCTGGTTTTTTGTTGAATGGATTTATCTCCCGATTTTGACCTGGTAGGTGACTTCAGTTCTTTTTCAACAACTTTTGAAATGGTATCTATGTGATCTCTTTTTTTCTTTTTATGTTTGGACTTTCTTTTCCTTTTATTTCTCCCTCCATGTTCAGAATCTGAAGACAATTGTATAGGTGATCTTTCGGTCCAAGGTTTGTCATATTTTAAAAACACAATGTCACTTCCAGCTTTGGAGCTTGAATCAGAATCGTTCAAATCTGGCCTAAAAACCGGATCGTCGCTTTCTGAGCTGACAGAGACTATGTCTTGTAGTGACCTAACATTGGACATTTCCAGACTTCCCCAGGATGGCCCTGGTGTTGGAGAGTCCCAGCCTGTCCTAAGAAACCCTGAACTACCTGCAACTGGAGAAGTTCTACCAGTAATTTCCGTGTCGGAGCTGACATCTGTGATTTCAACCACATCATCATCATCTCCGCTGCTGCTCGAGGATGTATTTTCAGTAAAAGCTGCGGTAGTATCTCGACGGTGATACATTGCTTTTCTATCAAAAGCTTGCATTGTCAATGCACTATTTGTGAAGGCCACAAATTCTTGAATAAAATGTCGAGACTTCCTACCAAGTAATGGTGATACCTTCTCACTAAAATGAGTACTGTCAATAGTCACCTGAGTAAGCAAAGGTTGAATAATACTAATGGCAAGTCTAACATTCTGATGGCTTTTGAGAAGAACTTTGAGCTCCCTTGTCAGCCAAGGCATTATACGTTGCAACCTGTGGGAACTGGCTGCAACCATAGCTGGAGTTAGACGATAAGTGCTGTTCTCTGTACCAAGTATGAGAAATGGTGGGCCAAGATTATGCCTGTACACTTCCCGACGGAAGTCCTCTGGACCCCTGGCCCAAGAAACAGCAGATACATGATTTGCTGCATTAAAAGAGGAGCTTGTGTAAGAATATTGATGCTCTCCGTGAACAGGATGCTGCGGTTGAAGATATCTATCATAACGACGATGACGAAACTGGAACCTGCTAAAGTTACTGAGTGTTAGATCAGCATCCAACCCAGGTCTGGTTAAACTAATGTAATGATGAGTCGGTGTCGTGAACAGACTCCTCGGGAAATAGTTGTAAAAACTATAGTCACTTGGATGTGGAGGGTTTACTGGTGGAAGCTCATAAATGTCATAACTCTGATCAGATCGTATGTTATGAAAGATGCTGGTAAATGGTTGCTTGCATAAAGGACACTCTGCTTTAACCTTTGACCACTGCTTTAAACATACAAAACAGAACGAGTGAGCACAGCTACTAGTAAATGACTTGTTGTTAAATGGTCCAAGACAGATAGAGCAATTGTCAGGTGACTCTCGTCTATGTGGTTCAGCTTCACTAGTGGTCTCATCTCTCTCTGAGCTTTCTTTGGACCCACTATCTTCTGGGCTACCACTGCTGGGCTTTACTGCATTAACTGCATTCAACTGGTTCCTCGTTACAGGCATTTTTAGCTTTCTGGGAAAACGTTAATTTCAAGTTAAAATTGATTTAATTAAACTCATATTCATCTTATTAGCCAACAATACAAAATATTTGACTAACAAGCACTAAGGGTGTAACAATGATTCCAAAACCTTATATACATATATAAAGCTTAACATGTATTTCCTGATTTACCCAAAAAATTTCCCTCTGTTTAAATTTCTTCTTTTTATCAATATTCAACTTCTTTTGATATAAGTATTAATATAATACTTAAAGGAAACTTGTAGTTTTTAATGATTAATGATTTGCATCAAGACCTAATTATATTTCATTTCCAAGATTTTTTTTCCTCTCTTTTTTATTTTGACTCCGTTGAAAGTCAAAGAAAATAATAAGGCAATGCATTCATTCAAATTCCTAATTTTATTTTTGTAAACTGAAGCTACGTCACAATTTATGTATAGTGGCCAGTCATAATCATTCATAATGACATATTGTTTTGTAAAAATCTTTCACTTACTTCTGTCTCCTTGAACTGAACCCAAGGTGGTGCAAGTCCAAGATATGCCTTAGCCTGGGCCTGAGTCAACTGAATGAAAGTGTACAAGAGTCAGTTGTCAAAGATTATTTTTTATAACTTATTTACAATTTTAATAAGGTTTATCCCTTATCTAAGCTAACTCTCTTTCCGTTTATTAATTTTAGTCAATCGCTTCTTAAACATTTAAAAATTAATCCACACTCCCAACTGATCACAGAGTGTGAGATTAACTAATGTTAGTCTACTAGCTACTAATTTATAGTCTAAATCCATCCTTGTCACTCGTCAAAACAAAACACAAAAAAGGGGCTGGGGGTGTGTCCCCCCACACACACACACACACAAATGTGAATATGTTATGCATATGTTAAGAAGGTATTCTGCACACTGAATTGTGTGACCAATTTGTGATGATCAATAATGTGATTTTGTGGGGAGGGAGGGCCAAAATCTGCTCACATAGGATGATAGAATGATAGTGTGATGCCATTTATGGATGGCCCTTTGTTAACTTAGTACTTTTTATTATTTAGCCTATGCCTATACGAATAGAGCGAATAGTAAGCTAAGACACATTAAGATTAAGCTTAGGCTGCCCTAGGCCTAGGAGATTCTACAGGCCTCCTATAATGTTGTAATGAATAGGAACCTAATAAATAAATACATACACACTGATGAGTGTCTCAAGCAAGATGTCACCTAATTCTAAAATCTAAAATCAATGTAATTTCATTAGCTTACGCTTAAGCTGTAAAATAGGCTATAAAATAGCATATTTATTAAGTAAGGCAAAACACTATAGTTATAGGACTATAGGCCTACAATAAACGTTATTAGGCATAATAATAATATAATATGTTTTGTTTCAGTCCCAGTCACTCATCCTCACTGGTAATTACTTTTTAGTCTTAGTTATTCTCCAATTGACAATTCAGAAGTCCTGAGAAGCATTCACTAGAAGTAGATTTGAAATGAATTTGACTAAAACTAAAAGCTCGAGTCACACTGACAATGCATAATTTTTGTCCAATCCTTAAATTTAAAAAAAAAAAAACAAACTAAGTCTAAGTAGGACTAACTCAAGTACTAACTTAACACTAACTTCACTAGGTCTACGTCTCTAACTCTAACTAAGCTCACTAAGATTACTAAGAACCACTAAGATTCTTACTTACAGTTACTAACTTACACTTACAGACTTACACTTACAGTTACAGTCACAACTTACAGTGACTTAACTTAAACAGCCTCCTAGTCTAGCCTACATAATTTTTAATAGCAAAAGTAATGGCTTTATTCTCGGATCAGATCTTATATATACAATCATTTAAATTTGTATAGTCCCTTACGAACACAGTGCGTAGAATGTTGAGCTTATGACGAAGTTATGACTTGGATGGTCCAGTCTGGCAGTAGCAGTCGTCGATGTTTTTGTTAATAAAAAACTAAAAATAGATTTTTATAGGCCTACCATGAAATTTTTGTATATGTGTATCTATAAAGTGAAGTTGTCATAGTTTTATATTTGAATATAGCCTATGAGAATGGTCTTACCTCTTTGAGAACGAACGCAGAATGCCTCCTTTTTAAGACTGGCTTAGTTTTAATACATTTTGAGCTTCAATTTTATCCAGCCTCAATGGCGGAGTCAGTACTTCCAACATAGCCGGATGCATAGACAGAAGTATCTGGGGTATAGGGCCCGGGGAAAGACTCGATTACTCCCAATGACTTTATTTTAGTTAATTAGTTTGGTATGCAAATTTAATTATGAAAACGAAATCAGACCTTTGATTCCCACATTTTAAAAGAAAATGAATTGTGACAATAATACTAGATTCTAAATATTTTTCAATGAGCAAATCTTCTTTCTTCACGCGTCGCTGTATCGCTGACAGCTAATTCTACTGTTTTATATCACCACCACCATTTATAGTTTAAGGCTGAAAAAGGGAACATTGTTGCAGATTTGGTACATAGAAAATTGTGTTTATCATGACAATCAAATATATATTTTTATTTTATATATCAGTAATACAATAATTATATCATGCTAGGCGTATTCATATCGTTTAAATTTGATAGTCACATATTGCTTCTCACTTCTTTTTAAATATAAATTTAAAAAGGGGAGAAAAGCAAGCCACTTAGGCAAGTCAAATGCCAGATATGATCCAAGCGAACAAACAAGAAATAAGGACTCGTAAAAGAATATACAAATATTATTTTTTTAAATTAAGACCATCCATAAATAACGTCACGCATCGGGGGGGGGGGGGGCCGGGGGGGGGGATCAGCCTTTTTGAGCGTTATGACGATGTGTGACGAGGGGGGGGGGGGCTTAAAGCAATGTGACGTCACATGAAAAGCGGAATATTGTAGTAAAAAATTGCACTTATAACCAATGTTCCCTCTAGGGTTTGCTGGCTCGTGTGCAAAATCTTACAGGTGTGTGCAAAGTTTTACAGCATCAATTTTGTGTGTGCAAAATTTTACAGCCCACAAAAAACAAACACACAATTACATGGAAATTTGCTGCGCGGTACTCAAAACTGCTGTTTTTTTTTTTTTTTTTTTTTTTTTTTTTTTTTTTTTTTTTTCTTTTTTTTTTTTTTTTTTTTTTTGTTTTTTTTTGTTTTTTTTGTAAGCGTTTTTATTGCTTTTGCAATGTCAATGTGATTAGCAAAATATATTCTGACTTAGTCATGTGTTTAAAATTTTAGCATTTTGACTACCTGTCCCCCCTTAAAGGGAACATTGCTTATAACCCTAAATTACAGACTTTTTTTAAACATTATTCTCTTATACAACAATTTTAATTATTTTATTTTCGAACTACGATCACTGAGAGATTCAGTCCAGGTATGCGAGGTCCGAAAAATGGCCTCTGGTCAAGTTACAGGACGCCAAGGAGGAGGAAAATTGGGATGTAGTTACAATGACAGTCGCGAGAATTTATGGCTAAATGTGGACACGGGAGTCAAAAAAATAGGGATACCACGTGAAGTGGGATGGAACGGGGAAAAAAAAGTTGAAAAAAAAAAGGGGGGGGGGGTTAATCTCAGTAAATGCTCTAGGTAGGGCAGGGAGCTGCAGGCACACTCCGTTTTAAACAATCCCGCCCAATCCCCCACCCCCCCCCCAAAAAAAAAATTTAAAAAAAAATCCGTATAAATTATATTGTAATAAAATTAAAAATAATTAAATAATTTAGTTATCGTAGTTTTATTTCTTTGATCAACTTTTCACAAACAAGGGAAAAAATTACCAATACAATCAAGGCGCCAACAAAATTCACCATAAAAACATTTACTGCTGTTAACCAAAACGCATAAAAACTTTTTTTTTAAATTTTGAAAGCAGCACCAACTAGCCGCAAATACAATCAGTGTTGCAGCAAGGGTTTGTGTCACTTAGTCCGGAAAACTCGTGGTTCAAACAAGAGAACAACCCCCCCCACACACACACACACTTTTACGATGTATTTCTTCTTGTTAAACTAAGCCCATAGTATAAAAATAACAAAAACAAATTAATTGAAGGTTAGGAGGTAAATGCAGAACTGTGACATATATTTAGAATCGCCTACTGTTATCAAAAGATAGCTTTATTTCACACAATTTAGATAAATATCTAAAAAGTTACCAAACACTTCATTCGGCGTTGAATCATGGTAAAAACGGTCTGTTTCTGACCTAATAAGTTAACCTAAATAATGACGCATCAACCTTGAACTTTTAATACATTGCTAATGTTGTCGGTGGGCCGTCAAACTGTGCGAGCTCTTAATTCCCCCCCTCCCCCCGGCACATCCCCACACAGGCCAGACGCTAGGTTTCCCCGTCGCCAGATCGTGCGGCGGCAAGTCGGGAACCCCCCCCCCCCGGCCTTGGGGACGTCCGGTCGACAGAAAACGCTGCGTTTAAAGCGTTCGCAGTCCACTCTCCCTAAGGGTCTGAGTGGGTTTGCTTCCACTCCGGGGGAAAGGTGTTGGGTTGCCACCGCCCACGGAATCCTTCGGTCGAGATGTTTTCTAGGCTGGGACAAAATGGTTGCCTCGGAGCAGCTTTCTCAGAGCTGCGTAGTTAAAATAATCAGCATGGGTTTTCATCGCCACCCAAGCCTCATATCCATTAATGGCAACAGAATACGTAAACTATTAATAAAACAAACATTTTTATTGGTTACATGGGTGTAAATTGTACGTATCATCGGTTATCCTTTAATGAAATTCGGTAAGACCAGTCGTCGGCAAATCACGGCTCGCGAGCTGCATGCTGCTCTTTAGAGGCCTAAGTACTGCTCGGCCAAGCGGCCACAAATCGGTTTTGACTCGGAAAAACGTGATTCTTGAAAAGAAATTTGGCTCTAAAAAAATTGTAATGGTCCCGCTGCTGATTTTGGGCTCTTTTGACCAATGAGTTTGCCGACCACTGGGTTAAACCGAGTGTGTGCTCTGTAAATCTTCAATTTTTCAATTCTACGTCACCCCTGAGATGTTGTCATCGCACACACCTAGCTACGCCACTGAATACAATTTTCTGGTCTTCCATACCTCAGGGCTGGGGGGGGGGGTTACTTTTACCTCTGGTTAAGAACCACTGTTCTAGTGAAATGTTTCTGACCCAGTTGCATTAGTCTGATATGCACTGAAGAGGAATTTCTAAGGGTTTGTAAAGGACAGTAGTGGACCCAGAAACTTTTTGCAAAGATTTGTGACGCTAAATTTGAGGGGGGGGGGTCTAACTTTTTGTGACGATTTGTGACCATGGGGGAAAGGGGGGGGGGTGTCGAAATTGACAAAATTTGCGTGGCCCTTATGTTGTATTTAATAGCTTTTTATGAGTTGGATTTTTAGGGTAAAAAGGGGTCATCGTACAAAATAGGATATAAGGTAAACATTATTGTTTGAATTTAGTTGTTTTTTTTAATACTTCTACTTAATGATCATGGTATTTTATGACTAACCCAATAAAAGGAGTTAAAATTGTGTAGGAGAAGGGCATAGTTCTTCTTATGCTAAAACAACGCCAATGCTGAAGATTCGGGACACAAAAAAAATGACTTGTTTTGTTTCAAAACCTGGCTGATCTCCAATGTTTACATGAGGCTACTTTAACAAACCAAAAATGTTTCTCTCATATTGCATTCCCACGTATCTACCGCATGTATAGTTGTAAAAATTATATTTAAAGCATTACTGTTAACATATACAGACTACATAAAAGACATTTAAATATGAATACGATATCTTTATTATTAAAAAAAAAAAAAAACTAGTGCCGTGAAAATTTGACTCTTATTCAAGAACTGATCAGTGACGTAGCAAGGGTTAGTGCACCACAGGGCGGGAAGATAATTTAGCAAGAACCCCTTACCTAGCGGAAAAAAACTTCGCAGGTGCCCGAAAATGCCACCCCTCCATATAAAAATACCCCCCCCCCCTTTTTTTCCTCCCGTTCCAACGCTATTGGAACTGGTAAATGAATTTAATCATTATAATTAGTTTTTTCGTTTTTTTTTCTTTCGGTTTCTTCTTGTTCTACACATACAAAGCAGTATTAGTGTGAGGCCAGTGCTTATTTCGTCCATGTAAATTAAATGAAATGATTTTGTTTTAAATACTTATCTTTCTCCTGCTTGCCAATTTTGCGCCTCCTTCAAGTGACGTCCACGGTACACGTTTGAAATTGACACAGATGAGACCTCACAGACTCACTATAATAATATATGGCATTGGGGCCTATATACTCTCTAGTACAATAAATTATCAACACAGTATTCAATCTTTCCCACTATATATATATATATTTTTAAAATCAGTGCTGTGGTAACTGCAAGGCAGAAGCGATAAAATACATTCGTTTAGATATAAATTTTAGAGGAATATTTTATTTTAATTTTTACTCCAAATATGGTAACCAATTGAGTTCGAGTTGTCAGTTGATCAAACTTTAGCGTTATGTTTTGTCATATATTACGACTTTGGAACCGTCTCGTGACTTTTGGAGGCCATTTGATTGGTTTTGTGCCCTCGCATTCAAAGTTGATGGTTTCAAATTTTTTTCGTCATATATTTGAGTCCCTTTCCGAGACTTCCTGCAGCCGCGGGGGTTGCAGTTCCCACTGGGGCCACGCAAGTGCTCTGCCCCCATCCCAAGACTCAAAATTGATAAACTGTAGAAATTATGTCAAATAAATCTAAAATATTTTATTTTTGAAATGAGATTTTCATGATTCACGTTATTGGATTTTCTTAGTTCTCCACCCAGTTAAAATGTAACTTTTAATTTAATTTAGTGGTTGACTAATAAATGATAAACACCGCTTTAAATCGGAAGTAGATTGCTCAATTACACAGAACACCGTCGTGTACGACAACAAAGTGTTAAAGTTACACGCAGTCATCTCGTTCGAGGTGGACGGAATCTAATTTACAGTTAACTATGAGAGAACAGGACACGGTTTCAATAAAACCTAATGAAACAACAAGTGATGGGGATATTTTAGGAGCATCAGCAGGGAAACACTGGACTAAGTTAGCACTAAATATTTAAACATTAATTCTTAATTAGTACAGTAAAGTAGGCTAAAGCCAACTCAAACTATTATCAAACTAAACTGTCAAACTCGTGTCCATTTTTTTTCGAAAATGTTTTTTTTTTTTTTTTTTCAATTTTATGAAAGAGC